TATTCCTATTTTAAATTCCTATAATTTATCGATGCTTTCTGATTGCTTAATTGGCAATTCTCTTGTTCCCTCGGGCTGTTCCCAACGTGTGTGGTGTGTTGGTATGTGTGTGTGAACTGGTGTAAGGCATGATCGATCAACCTGGAGTCGATCGATCAGGCCTTCGACCTGGGGGTCGGTCGATCGGGCCTTCGACCTGGGGTCGGTCGGTTGGTCGGGCCTTCGACCTGGGGTCGGTCGATCGGTGCCTTCGACCTGGGGTCGGTCGGTCGGGCCTTCGACCTGGGGTCGGTCGGTCGGGCCTTCGACCTGGGGTCGATCGATCATGCCTTTGACCTAGTTAATTTATTTTTGTTGATATTAGATTTACCCAGTTTATTTTCTCGAGGTTAAACTTCCGCCATTATAAGAGATCTGCTTCATCAGCTTCTGCGGGCTCGCCATAGCCCGTGCTACTTGGAACTTTGTGTTCCAGGTAGTGAATCTTAAACAACAACATTATCATCTTTCATCGTCACATGATACAAGTCTTAACTTGCTCTGCTGTTGGCAGCCAAATAGCAGGAACGCAAGCAGGAACGCAAGCAGACGAGCAAGCAAGCAGACAAGCAAGCAGACAAGCAAGCAGGAACGCAGACAAGCAAGCAAGCAGGAACGCAAGCAGAGAAGCAAGCAAGCAAGAAGGCAAGCAGACAAGCAAGCAGAAACGCAAGCAGACAAGCAAGCAAGCGGGAACGCAAGCAAGCAGGAACGCAAGCAAGCAGGAACGCAAGCAGACAAGCAAACAAACAGACAAGCAAGCAGAAACGCAAGCAGACAAGCAAACAAGCAGGAACGCAAGCAGACAAACAAGCAAGCAGGAACGCAAGCAGACAAGCAAGCAAGCAGGAACGCAAACAAGCAAGCAGACAAGCAAGCAAGTAGGAACGCAAGCAGACAAGCAAGCAAGCAGGAACGCAAGCAGACAAGCAAGCAAGCAGGAACGCAAGCAGAGAAGCAAGAAGTAACGCAAGCAGAGAAGCAAGCAAGCAAGAAGGCAGACAAGCAAACAAGCAAACACAGGCACACGCTGCAGCTATAATCACATTATTAATGGCTATAACTTGGGTTGCAACGATATTAAATCTCCTTAACCGGATTATGTAAATCCCTGAGCCTGGTCTATTTCTGTGGTGCAGCGGTAAGGTATTCTCCACCCAATAGCCTGCCCTGCCAACTGAAATCAGAATAAGACTTGTAATCCAGTGTGTCAAAATTAGTGTGATACATCTTCGTGTTCCGTATAGGAGCAGGTTGATCAGACCAGCAACGTAGGAGGCCTGGTCGACGACCGGGCCGCGGGGACGCTAAGCCCCGGAAGCACCTGAAGGTAACCTCAAGGCAGGAGACTCGTCTATCGTTCAGGGAACCATGAACCTCGAACGAGAACCCGGAGCGAGACAGAATTGGTGTCTCGGAGCTCCTTGATGACCTTCTACTGTTATCCCATCGCTATCGGAACGTTTTTAAAAGATTAATTCCTTGCTACAAGGACATGATCTTTGAGAGCGTTGGGGCGAGAGATGGATAATAATATACATGTGGAAAATATTAGAGGGGCTGGTCCCAAACCTGCACACAGAAATAACAGCACATGAGACCAGAAGACATGGCAGGATGTGCAGAATACCCCCGTTGAAGAGCAGAGGTGCAACAGGTACTCTGAGAGAGAATTATCAACATCAGAGGCTCGAGACTGTTCAACACGCTTCCGCTACACATAAGGGACATAACTGGCCGACCCCTCACAGTGTTCAAGAGAGAACTATCAACATCAGAGGCCCGAGACTGTTCAACACGCTTCCACTACACATAAGGGACATAACTGGCCGACCCCTCACAGTGTTCAAGAGAGAACTATCAACATCAGAGGCCCGAGACTGTTCAACACGCTTCCACTACACATAAGGGACATAACTGGCTGACCCCTCACAGTGTTCAAGAGAGAACTATCAACATCAGAGGCTCGAGACTGTTCAACACGCTTCCGCTACACATAAGGGACATAACTGGCCGACCCCTCAGTGTTCAAGACTGAACTTGATAAACACCTCCAAAGGCTACCTAATCAACCAGGCTGTGATTCTTACGTCAGGCTACGAGCAGCCGCGTCCAACAGCCTGGTTGAGCAGTCCAGGGAGGAGGAGGCCTGGTCAGAGACCGGGCCGCGAGGACGGTGATCCCAGGAACCATCTAGTAGTAGTCAATAGGTAGGTCCATCCCAAATCCTTATCCTGACCCCTTCCCAGTGCTAGTCGCAATTGGTTGGTGCTTTCCCCCTGATTGTTCCCTTCCCTTCCAATATCTTGAGGTTATCTTGAGATGATTTCGGGGCTTTAGTGTCCCCGCGGCCCGGTCCTCGACCAGGCCTCCACCCCCAGGAAGCAGCCTGTGACAGCTGACTAACACCCAGGTACCTATTTTACTGCTAGGTAACAGGGGGGGGGGCATAGGGTGAAAGAAACTCTGCCCATTGTTTCTCACCGGCGCCTGGGATCGAACCCGGTACCACAGGATCACAAGCCCAGCGTGCTGTCCGCTCGGCCAACCGGCTCCAACAGTCCATTTCTCTACTGTTGGACAAATAGTAGGAGTAATTTCATATTAGGAGGATGGGGCTCCTCGCTGGCTTGTTCCGTGGAACGAACCAATTTGGTAGTGCTCAGGTGCGCTGGGAGGTGGCGGGCAGTTTGTGTTGATGAGTTGGTGCTTGTAGGAGCTTTGATGACGCAGCTTGAGTCATCAAAGTCCCCAAAGTCATCCGCGTCATCAACAGTGGACGCCCCGCTGAAGGTCCGGAAATTAAGGCGCTGCTAAACTGCATGTGCAGCCCTCTGTGTGTAGCCCTCTCTTGTGCAGCCCTCTCTTGTGCAGCCCTCTCTTGTGCAGCCCTCTCTGTTCAACCCCTCTCTGTTCAACCCCTCTCTGTTCAACCCCCCCTGTTCAACCCCCCCCTGTTCAACCCCCCCTGTTCAACCCCCCTCTGTTCAACCCCCCTCTGTTCAACCCCCCTCTGTTCAACCCCCCTCTGTTCAACCCCTCTCTGTTCAACCCCTCTCTGTTCAACCCCTCTCTGTTCAACCCCTCTCTGTTCAACCCCTCTCTGTTCAACCCCTCTCTGTTCAACCCCTCTCTGTTCAACCCCTCTCTGTTCAACCCCTCTCGTACACTAAGTCGCGTTCCTTACCTTATGTAACCAACGGCTCAAATGCAACCTTTTAAAGTATAGTAACGACTACATACTACGTTAATGTGCTTACGACTATTCTACGTTTTCTTCTACACGAGAAGATAGGTTTGGTGGGTTGCTAGGGTTCCAAAGTGTCTGGTTAGACTAAAAGTAGGAGGAGTAGAGGCACTGAGCGCCGGCTGAATGAGGTTCCCGATAATTAGGTTGTTTGTCTGTGTAATTACCAGATGGAAATATTAAGCTCCCGTATTCCAGAGACTCGACCGCGCTTAATTACCTAAACCACTCTACCCTGGGGGTGATATAGTTCCCATAAACATTAATAATTCATACATCAGTTTGTAAATTATGAGGGATTATATATTTTGAGACACGTCTAATATATATTACCTGGTTAAGCAGGTGTGGACTACCGTTGATGATTAACACCTGTGTTTGCCTCAAGGTGTACTTTATCTTTAGCTTAAACTGTCACATTTTGGTCCCGATTGTCTATTATGGAAAATGTGTGGCAGGCAGGGTGACTGGTCTGTGGTAGGGAAGTGACATAGGTTGGTGGTGGTGGGAGGCCATAATTCAAGAGGAAAGAGCGTGCCTGGTCATATTCTGACCTTCAGAATGGTTTTTGGCACTGTCCTAAGTTGACAATCAAGTTAGATAAAGTCCGAGTGCAGTGAAAAGCTCTGTACCCCAGGGTACAGTCCTGGCACCGTTGCTCTGTACTCCAGGGCACAGTCTTGGCACAGCTGCTCTGTACCCCTGGGCACAGTCTTTGTACCGCTGCTCTGTACCCCAGGGCACAGTCCTGGCACCATTGCTCTGTACCCCAGGGCACAGTCTTTGTTCCACTGTACCCCAGGGCACAGTCCTTGCACCGCTGCTCTGTACCCCAGGGCACAGTCCTGGCACCACTGCTCTGTACTCCAGGGAACAGTCCTGGCACCACTGCTCTGTACCCCAGGGCACAGTCTTTGTACCACTGTACCCCAGGGCACAGCCCTTGCACCACTGCTCTGTACCCCAGGGCACAGTCCTGGCACCACTGCTCTGTACCCCAGGGCACAGTCCTGGCACCACTGCTCTGTACCCCAGGGAACAGTCCTGGCACCACTGCTCTGTACCCCAGGGCACAGTCTTTGTACCACTGTACCCCAGGGCACAGTCCTTGCACCGCTGCTCTGTACCCCAGGGCACAGTCCTGGCACCACTGCTCTGTACCCCAGGGCACAGTCCTGGCACCACTGCTCTGTACCCCAGGGAACAGTCCTGGCACCACTGCTCTGTACCCCAGGGCACAGTCCTTGCACCACTGCTCTGTACCCCAGGGCACAGTCCTGGCACCACTGCTCTGTACCCCAGGGCACAGTCCTTGCACCACTGCTCTGTACCCCAGGGAACAGTCCTGGCACCACTGCTCTGTACCCCGGGGCACAGTCCTTGCACCACTGCTCTGTACCCCAGGGCACAGTCCTGGCACCACTGCTCTGTACCCCAGGGCACAGTCCTTGCACCACTGCTCTGTACCCCAGGGCACAGTCCTGGCACCACTGCTCTGTACCCCAGGGCACAGTCCTGGCACCACTGCTCTGTACCCCAGGGAACAGTCCTGGCACCACTGCTCTGTACCCCGGGGCACAGTCCTTGCACCACTGCTCTGTACCCCAGGGCACAGTCCTGGCACCACTGCTATTTCTCAGTCTTATCTCAGATACAGATAAAAACACTTAGTCACAGCTTCGTGTCATCCTTTGCAGATGACACAAAAATCAACATGAAAATTGTCACTTTAGAAGACACTGAAAGACTTCAGGCAGATATTAACAAAATCTTCGATTGCCCAACAGAAAATAACAAGTTTAACTGTGACACTGAAGTACAGTGACACTGTACTTCAGTATCGCTACAGTGGCTTAACCAGTCAAGCCTGGCCTCGGGCAGGGCTCGTGGAGTAGAACAACTCCAGAGATATCATCCAGATAACAGCTAAATATTAATCAAAATATAAAATAATACAAATTCTTATTGTAAGACGATATTAATATGATTACTAGCGAATATATATAATATTAGGTGTAAATGTTGATTACAAATTAACAGGTGTTTTGTGTCTCTCTTGTACAGGTGTCGAGTTGCGAGTACATGATCCTGATCTTGGAGTGCTACGTCGATCCTGTAGAAGAGTTCGTCCAGGCTTCAAGGGGAACCTCTCTCAGGTAGGTCCTTCTCCAGCTTGTACTCCACTACTTCTACGTACTCCAGTGGTCTTCTACGCCCAGGTTCACGAACCAGTTACGCAAGCACTTACGAACCTGGGGGACAGATTTACAAAGCAGTTACGCAAGCACTTGCGAACCTGGGGGACAGATTTACAAAGCAGTTACGCAAGCACTTGCGAACCTGGGGGACAGATTTACAAAGCAGTTACGCAAGCACTTGCGAACGTGTACATCTTTTCCTCAATCTTTGACGGCTTTGGTTACATTTATTAAACAGTTTACAAGCATGAAAACTTGCCAATCAACTGTTGTTATTGTTATAAACAGCCTCCTGGTGCTTCGGAGCTCATTAACTGTTTAATAATTGTAAACAAAGCCGCCAAAGATTGAGAAAAGATGTACAGGTGTCGTAAGTGCTTGCATAAGTGCTTCGTGAATCTGGCCCCCAGGTTCGTAAGTGCTTGCGTAACTGCTTCGTGAATCTGGCCCCCAGGTTCGTAAGTGCTTGCTTAATGGCTTCGTCAATCTAGCCCCCCAGGTTCGTAAGTGCTTGCGTAACTGCTTCGTGAATCTGGCCCCCAGGTTCGTAAGTGCTTGCGTAACTGCTTCGTGAATCTGGCCCCCAGGTTCGTAAGTGCTTGCGTAACTGCTTCGTGAATCTGGCCCCCAGATTCGTAAGTGCTTGCTTAATGGCTTCGTGAATCTAGCCCCCCAGGTTCGTAAGTGTTTGCGTAACTGCTTCGTGAATCTGGCCCCCAGGTTCGTAAGTGCTTGCGTAACTGCTTCGTGAATCTGGCCCCCAGGTTCGTAAGTGCTTGCATAACTACTTCGTGAATCTGTCTTCTATTCATCATTGTTGGTCTTAGGGTTAATATGGCCACCTTAGGCAAGGGGGCCACCAGGTGGCTCTAAGGGGAGTCGGTCGGCCGAGCGGACAGCACGCTGGACTTGTGATCCTGTGGTTCTGGGTTCGATCCCGGGCGCCGGCGAGAAACAATGGGCAGAGTTTCTTTCACCCTATGCCCCTGTTACCTAGCAGTAAAATAGGTACCTGGGTGTTAGTCAGCTGTCACGGGCTGCTTCCTGGGGCTGGAGGCCTGGTCGAGGACCTGGCCGCGGGGACACTAAAGCCCCGAAATCATCTCAAGATAACCTCAAGATAAGGGCCTCGTTAGCGATAGTTACCGGGGGTTAAACGCGTCGTAACGCGTCTCACACCTGTTAGCGGACCGTAGAGCTTTTTATAGAGCCGGCTTTAATGTGTATAATTGCCTTGTTAGCGATTATTTGAACGTCTTAGAAACGCTGCATTGTTAGCCGCTCCGGCCTCGTTCTTGTAGACATCTGGCTGGTCTGACCGGCTTGTTCTTAAGGTCTCAAAGTCTAACCACTTAATTGGGTCGTTATCTAGAGCAGTTCTGCGATAGGTGTTCTTTGACCTCTATGATAGCAACACTGTGGTACTTTTATCGTGGTAAGGGGGTGGGTCCGGGACCATGGTAGGGGGGGGTCCTGGAGCATGGTAGGGGGGCTCCTGGAGCATGGTAGGGGGGCTCCTGGACACACCCTCCCACTACACCCCCTCCCACCCTCTCTCTCTCTCCCACTACACCACCCTGCTACACTCCCACCCCACCCACTGGTCATCTTTCAAAGCCTCGTCCTGGACTATGCCATGATCCGCTCGGCTTAACGATCCTTAATATTTAATTCCAGGCTAATTCCCTCTGGTCGAAGTGCTGATTAGGGGCTTTGTCTCTTAGGGCTACCCCTGCCCTTCCTCCCTTAGGGGTAGCCCTTACCTGCCTCCCTTAGGGCTACCCCTGCCCTTCCTCCCTAAGGGGTAGCCCTTACCTGCCTCCCTGAGGGCCACTTCCTCTATGAGGGCCACTCTCTCTCTCTCTCTCTCTCTCTCTCTCTCTCTCTCTCTCTCTCTCTCTCTCTCTCTCTCTCTCTCTCTCTCTCTCTGTCTCTGTCTCTGTCTCTGTCTCTGTCTCTCTCACCCCTCTCCCCTCCCCCCTCCCCCCTCCGCTACACGCCACAGCCTAAGCTCTTCCGTCCACTTCACCTGTCGCCATCAAAGCAACGTACAGCTTCAAAGTCTTGAATTGAAAAGTTTCACCGACCAAAGCAACTGCAAATTGTTGCAAGAACATCTGATATTGATATGCAACCAATCTCCCTCCTATGTCTCTCCTGCGCTTGAAACAGTCCAGCGATATCATGTCTGTTATGCTTGCAATTTATTCCAAAACGAAATAAAACCCTGGGCCCAGGTTCACGAAGCAGTAACGCAAGCACTTACGAACCTGGAGCCAGATTCACGAAGCAGTTACGCAAGCACTTACGAACGTGTACATCTTTCCTCAATCTTTGACGGCTTTGGTTACATTTATTAAACAGTTTACAAGCATGAAAACTTGCCAATCAACTGTTGTTATTGTTATAAACAGCCTCCTGGTGCTTCGGAGCTCATTAACTGTTTAATAATTGTAAACAAAGCCGCCAAAGATTGAGAAAAGATGTACAGGTTCGTAAGTGCTTGCGTAACTGCTTCGTGAATCTGGCCCCAGGTTCGTAAGTGCTTGCATAACTGCTTCGTGAATCTGGCCCCCAGGTTCGTAAGTGCTTGCGTAACTACTTCGTGAATCTGGCTCCAGGTTCGTAAGTGCTTGCGTAACTACTTCGTGAATCAGGCTCCAGGTTCGTAAGTGCTTGCGTAACTACTTCGTGAATCTGGTCCCCCAGGTTCGTAAGTGCTTGCGTAACTACTTCGTGAATCTAGCCCCCAGGTTCGTAAGTGCTTGCATAACTACTTCGTGAATCTGGCCCCCAGGTTCGTAAGTGCTCGCGTAACTGCTTCGTGAATCTGGCCCCCAGGTTCATAAGTGCTTGCGTAACTACTTCGTGAATCTGGCCCCCAGGTTCGTAAGTGTTTGCGTAACTGCTTCGTGAATCTGGCCCCTAGTCATTCCAGACCGCTTTAAACTATTACTGAATGCGCATTCTAGAAATTATAGGATTAAAAGTATTTTAAAGACTGGATTACAAAAATAATTATTTAAATAAAAGCCAATTATAATTACCTTTCGGTATTGAATTAACAAATACTAATTATTTTAATCCTTATGACGAGTAAATTTTGTAGGGGTGAGGTAGAGGGGAATATTAGGGGGGGGGGGTGATTGGTGATTAGGGGGGGGGAGGGTGAGTGTGGTGATTGGGGGGAGGGTGAGTGTGGTGATTGGGGGGAGGGTGAGTGTGGTGATTGGGGGGAGGGTGAGTGTGGTGATTGGGGGGAGGGTGAGTGTGGTGATTGGGGGGGTTGTGAGGGGGTGGTAGAGAGCAGCCTTATAGTGTGTGTGTAGAAGGTGAAGTAGAGATACAATTATATGTACAGTAGGTATATGTGGGGGGATATTTGTGTGTGTGTGTGGGGGGGGGGGTGTAGTGTGTGTGGGGTGTAGTGTGTGTGTGTATGTGTGTGTGTGTGGGGTGTGTGTGTGGGGGGGTGTAGTGTGTGTGTGTGTGTGGGGGGGGTGTAGTGTGTGTGTGTGTGTGTGTGTGTGTGTGTGTGTGTGTGTGTGTGTGTGTGTGTGTGTGTGTGTATAGTGTGGGTGTGTATAGTGTGGGTGTGTATAGTGTGGGTGTGTATAGTGTGGGTGTGTGTGTGTGGGGGGGGGTGTAGTGTAAGTGTGTGATGAGTGTGTGTGTGTGTATAGTGTGTGTGTGTGTGTGTGTGTGTGTGTGTGTGTGTGTATAGTGTGTGTGTGTGTGTGTGTGTGTGTATAGTGTGTGTGTGTGTGTGTGTGTGTATAGTGTGTGTGTGTGTGTGTGTATAGTGTGTGTGTGTGTATAGTATGTGTGTGTGTATAGTGTGAGTGTGTGTATAGTGTGAGTGTGTGATGAGTGTGTGTGTGTAGAGTGTGAGTGTGTGTATAGTGTGAGTGTGTGTATAGTGTGTGTGTATAGTGTGAGTGTGTGTATAGTGTGAGTGTGTGATGAGTGTGTGTGTAGTGTGTGATGAGTGTGTGTGTGTGTATAGTGTGAGTGTGTGTGTAGTGTGTGATAGTGTTTACCTAACAGTGACTACGGGGAAGTGAGGCTCAGGTAATTGTGTCGTGTCTGCTAGCCTTGTTGTTGTCGTTTTAATTAAACTTTCGTGACAAAGTCTTTGTTGAATGTGACCCTAAAGTTGTCTTCCACCTGTCGCCCACTGTTCACACCACGAGTATTTCCTCACATTTCATTCATTGGCGTTTCCAGGTGCCATTTTTGTATGTACTTGTGTTCTATTCTACTTAACTAATTAATGGAAGTAGTCCTCGTCCATTGTTATTTTCAGTATCTTGTATGTCGTGAGCATTTCCCCTCTCCTCTTTTAACTGGTTGAGAGATACTGTCCTCTCTGTCTCAGGTGTAAATGTTGGGATCTATTATGATTTAGATGACTTTTGGTCTCTCTTTCTCATTACCCATGGTCATTACCTTACACTTAGTGGGATTGAACTCTAACAGTCACTTGTCTGCCAAATCCTGGATTTATAGGTTTTCCTGCAATCCTCCTTAGTATTTATTACCTAGTTATCTTGTTATAAATGGAAAACATTGCCGTGTATGAACCGCTTGCCTCGGGCTGGTTACCTTGAGGTGATTCCGGGGCTTAGCTTCCCCGCGGCCCGGTCGTCGACCAGGCCTCAATATAGGCCAGGCCAGTCACTTACATGATTTATCATATACAAGAAGGTACATTGGCTTGTGAGAGAACATAATATTGATATGTTCTTGCAGTGGTGGCACTGATAAGCATAGTGTTTCGGGCAGAATAGTGACAGGAATAGTGGCCACTGAGGCCTTGGTGGTGGTGGGGGGGGGGGGGGGGCAGGACCGGGGGGGCCTTGGTGGTGGGGGGGGCGCCTAGGTTGTAAATCTCCCTCTCTCAACACCTCTCTCTCGCCAACACCCTTTGTTTCCTGTCACTTTGGTTCCTATTTATC